GGTGTCACGGACATTTGTAGTAGTTCGGAATCCACTTTAAGCCATAGGTCCCGGTCTAATATGATCGTAGAGTGTCACAGAGCCCAGTCAGCCTTCTCACCCACAACATTCCCAAACTGCATGGGGGCAACTCAGCTCTAGGCACAGTGATGTGGTGTACTAGTAGTACTGATTCGGAATCCACACTAAACTGTAGGTCCCGGTCTAATTAGCCTAAAGTGTGCAGAAAATGACTGTAGAGCGATAAACCAAACCAGTTCATATGCTCATCTAGAATAACGTAACTGGAGAAACACATGATTCCTATTCCCAAACTGTAAAGGGTCAACTCAGCTGTAGGCACAGTGATGTGGTGTGGTGTAGTAAACTGTAGGTCCCGGTCTGTTTAGCCCTCTGTGTACAAGTTGACCATAGAGCGACAAACCGAACTATCAAGTGGGATAAGAAACAACAATTACTTCTCAATATTCACCATCAAATAAGATTCTTTAATTGTAGTATTGAATCATTTTACAGTGTATCAATGAAATTGTAAACCTTTTTAATTAGTCCTTCTTTGTATAGTATTTTATCATCCTCTTTATCGTCCACTTCGTCTGCTGTTACTTTTGAGACATAAAATACGTTGATGTGGGTTAAGATAAAAAAAAAAGCTTTTACATAATTGTAAATAGATATATAATCATTTTGCTGAAATTTTTTTTTTTTTTCTTCTGTGCATTCAGTTCTATAGGGACCTGTTTGCCTATTTCCCTCGAGGTTATATAAAAAAAAAAGGCATAAAAAAAATCACCTAAATTTCTCTTTTAGGGGGACACACGCTATACTAGTAACGTTTAATAACACAAATTACATAAACCGCCAGGGTGATCCATCAAATGCATATACACTGTTACAAAGCATGAAAAAAAAAGAGAGACATTGGAAGTTGGCCAAAAACAACATAGTCCAGAATTTCGTTACTAAGGTGTGCGTACTTGTACTTAATAGATAAAAAAAGAAAACGAACGTCCCCGTCAAGGTCAGGCAAGACCTAGGCAGGACAATCGGTCACTGGATACTGACTGTTGTGCTGTTCGAGCCCCACTTAATCTGATGAGAATGTCCGCTTGAAATATGATTACGCGCGGAACGATGTTTCATAGAGCTTGGACAAGGTCAATGTTAATATCCATCTCTTTGCGTCAGAAAACTCGGTGCAGCAATTAGTATTCAGAACATCGCTCTTGTGCAGGAGTCCTTTTTGTTTTTTGATGCAATTGCATAATGTGGATTTTTCCCCATGCAGTTATTATTATTTCTTTGTTTTTTATATTATTTTTATATATATATTGCGGCCACTGTTCACGACTTGGAAATGGCCTCTAATGCATGACTTCCTGTCGTAATATTAATATTTTTTTTCCACCGGACTGTTTTAAAGATGTCTGCACATTCGGATAGTTAATGTTGAATCATTGATTTTTATTATTTAAACAGGGGGCGGGAGGGGGGGGATAAATGTATTTTGAGAGTGATAAAACCAGTTTTAAAATGTAATGTGAACGTATTACATGCTTCAGATAACCGGTATTAAGATATATAACTGCAAATTTTTATGTAACATTATTTCATACGAGGCCTGATGGCCGAGTGACTAGCGCTCTGTCGCTCGGTGCCACAGGTTGCGGGTTCGAGTCTCGTAAATACCATGAATGTTTGAAGGGGTTCGGAATTCATTTTAAGTCATAAGTCCCGGTATAATATGACTGTTGGTCGTAGGGCTGACAATCCTACCCCAGAAAACGAAGAACATCTCTCATCTCATAATCTGCCAGTAGGCAAACGGCCTTGGCCCACAATGGGGCTGTTGCGCAAATGATGATTATTATTATTTCATATAGGGATTATATTTATTCGAATAATAAATTAATCTTATACGTGGGTGTATAAGATACTTTTTTGTTACTTGAAAATAAGGATGCGTCTTATAAAGTTAGAACTTTTCAGTTACTGTATTGAATGAAAGCTTATTTGTTAAAAATAGTATTAAGTACTTTATATTGGAAATATTATAGATTAATAATATGTAGTAATATATTATATAATGGGGCTTGATGGCCGCGTGACTTTCACTCTGGCGCTTGATGCCACAGGTTTCGGGTTCGAGTCCCAGCGGTGCCATGAATGTGTGTAGTGGTTTGGAATCCACTTTAAACCGTAGGTCCCGATCTAATATGGATGTTGAGCATAGGGCTGACAACCCTATCCCACAAAAAGAAAAATGTGTCTCGTAATCTGCCAGTAGGCAGACGTTGGCTCACAATGGGGCTGTTTTATAAATAAAAAAATTACTTATAAGCACCAAATAATAAGAAAAAAATTACTTATTGGTATATATTTTTTTTATTTAACTTATATAAAATTTTGTTTAACGCTATATTTAATTCAGCCAAAAATGCTAAGTGTACGCATAACAGTTTATAAAATATCTCCCGTATTTTTTCTTCTTCTAAGTTTCTGTATTTTGATTTCCGATCTACCCTATTGTTTCTTGGGATTTCCGTAAAGTCAGAATCTCCGTCAAAATATAGACTTATATATTTTGCCAAGTTCTACTGACTTACAAAAGCTGATACATTTTATACAAAAAAATATTAACTGGGGGAAAAAAAAAAGAACGGAAAAAAGAATAATAAAATAAACAGCAAATGCATTGTAGATTTTCTTTTGTTGTATTCGATGAAATGACATTTCAATGGCGACTTTTAAAAAAAAAAATCCTTGCCGTCAATTGTTCTGTCGAGAAGTAAGTAGTTTTTCCAAATTGTTGTTTTTGTGAAGAAGAATCCGTTTTGTACCTCCGTTGGTTTTTTTTTTTTTCGTGAATGATGTTGAAGACGTTTGCAAAGTATGCGGGAAAAGTTTAAGGCATTATATTTGAATTGGAAAATCGATTCATTATAAAGATACTATCTCTACCATCATTTTATTTATTAAAGTTTATGCTTTGTATTTAACGATTTTTTCTTTTCGAGTAATTTTTTTCTTTTGTCGTCAACTCATTTTTTTACAAAAATCCGAGTAAGTAGTTTTTTCAAAATGTTGTTTTGAGAAGAAGAATCCATTGTTTCAATTCCTTCTATTAGCTCACACTCTCCCTATATATATCTTTTTCAAATTTTCAATCGTTCATAAAATACTTTTTATTCCTCCACTCGTGTTCAAATACATTTTTTTTGAACTTGTAGTGGATGACACTTGATGTTAATACAGTTTTTCAAATATTAATTCAGTAATTAAATAATTAATTAATTTCAGTTTTTTTTAGATTTAAGTTGCATATATCTACCAATAGATGGCGCCAGATAAACTTAAAAAAATGAATGAAAATTATTTATAAATGACTTTCCGCAATGTAGTGAAAAAAGAGTAGGAATTGACTTTAAAATTTTTTGTATATTTGTTTTGTGAATGATGTTGGGAGATGTTTACAAATTATGCGGGAAAAATTTAATGCATATTTGAATTGGAAATTCAATTCATTATAAAGATATTATCTCTATTATCTTTTTATGTATTAAGTTTTTGCTCTGTATTTAACAATTTTTTTTTTGTCTTTTCTCAATTCAAAAATCCGAGATACAAGCGCGAATATGATTAATGCGTTACGCTAATACGATCAGTGGTAATGAATTTAATAGTGCATCAAATTATTCATAGTCTTAGAGACGTCATTTTTTTTTTATGGGTTCATTCATTACGTCTTTTTCACGACCAAGAACAATGGAAAGACTAGGCGGCTCTAGACATTTCTTATTCGGCATTATCCTTTTTCAAGGTCGCGGTAGTAACTCCCTATAACGAACAAGACATCTCTTGTGGAGCATGAATACTTCTCTTGGGTCAGTGGTCAACAAACGGCCAGGGGATTTATGGTACAAACCCCGACTGTCCGACGCCTATGCGAACGAACGCGCCGCAGTTGAGGAGGGGGAAAAATAAAAAAAGGATAATAAATAATAAATAAATAAGAAGAAAAAAGAACTAAAATGCGCAGAAACAAAAGTAGTCAGAAGTCTCTTTCTAAAAGTCTTCATTCTGTACTGTTGGAAAAGTTTTTTTTTTTCCAACTCCAATATATGACAGCTGTAAACTGGTTTCCTTTTTAAGATTCAGTTAGTAGAACCTAAAAACGACAAGGTTGAGACCTTTAAAAAGAAGCTGTGATCACTATTGTCATTTTTGGAGGAAATTGTAAAGGGGAAAAATAAATTTAAAAAAAAAAAAAATGAAGAAAAAAATTTCTGAAATGACATTGCATTTTATCGCTTTATGAACTTGAATAAGATTAAACGTTAAGATTTTGGTCTAAACTTAAAGTGTAGATATAATGTAAAACTTTCTAATATTAGTATGAATATAAGAAAGAGAAAAACACCAGGATCTGTGGTTTGGTAGAACTGAAGCTGTAATGTTTCTCTAATATTAGTACGGATATAAAAAAGGAGAAAAACACCAGGGTTTGTTGTTTGGTAAAACTAAATGCCATTGTTGTGATTAAAACAAAGCTTCGAGCAAAAAAATAATTTCCATAACATTCATATCATCAGTGTTCCCTAAATGTTAAAAATTGATTATTATTTCAATAATTCTATCTTATGTTATTAATATCTTTCTTTTTTTTTTTTTTTTTTTTTGTGCCATATTTTAAGATTTTTTTAAAAGATTCCTAATACATTTTCCCCTTTCTTTTCAATGAAAGGATTTTGTTCCGCGAAAGGAGCAGCCTGATGGCCAATTGGCTAGCGCTGTGGTATTTAATACTACAGGCTTCAGGTTCAAATCTTGTATCCTGTAATATTATATGTTAAGCTATTAAATACCTTTTTGTCATATTATATTTCTTTTTTAATGCGTTCTAATATATTTTTTCCTTTTTTTTCAATGAAAGAATTTTGTTCTGCAAAAGGAGCAGCCTGATGGCCAGTTTGCTAGTGCTCTGGCCTTTGGTGCTTTAGGATCGAATCCACCGGTTCTCGTTAGATCTCACCGAAGTCAAGCATCGTTGGGCGCGGTCAGTACTTGGGTGGGTGACCACCTGGGAACACTGCGTGCCGTTGGCATTCACACATTTGGGACCTGAATGACTGAGTGTCGTCTAGCGCTCTGACGCTCGGTGCCACAGGTTTCGGGTTCGAATCCCGGCGGTGCCATGGATGTTATGTTTGTAGTGGTTCGGAATCCACTTTAAGCCGTAGGTCCCGGTCTCCCATGGCTGTAAGAGCGTCACGGAGCCAAAGTCAGACTTCTACCTACGGGTGCTCCATCACAACAGAAGCTGCTTCCTTCCCCTTCAATCATGAGTACGTATGGGCTCGTGGGCTTGGCCAGCCAAGTGGGATAAGAAACAACAACAAACAGGATCGAATCCTGGCCGTGGCATGGATGTTTGCGAGTGGTTCGAAATCCACGTTAAATTTGCAGGTCCTAAAATGTGCACAAAAGGGTGGTAGTTTACCCTAAAGTGTGCACAAAATGATTGTTGAGCGACAAATCCGGAAAGAGAAAAATTCCGAAATGTTTTTTGATAACACTTATAAAATTGCTGTTCATTATACAAAGAGCACAAAATATAATTTTTTTTAAACATCAAGTTGCCTAATTGACGAGGGCTGGGAGTAGGAAAAAAAAAAAAAACGAAAATAAAAACCCTACCATCCTTGGTAACACGTTTACCAATTAGGAGTGAAAAAAAGGTCTTGGGCGATTTACGATGCATGGTATCCCAACGCTGAAGAGAGCAACGTTCTCGACTTTTCGAGCATGACGATGGAAGTTTCGCACACAAAAACGGAAATGGTGCTCGTGTGCTATTGCAATAGCTCCCGGGGACAATCCGTTAGAAAACGAACAATGGAATAATTATTGATAAGGCAGAAATTCTATGCACGCTGAATACCTAATACCGCAGCGGGCGATTGTTTCGTAAGCTCGAAATTGCTCAGATCTCGTTTTGAACGTTATGAAGACGTGTTCATTGATAAAGCGAAATGGGTTATAGGAAAGGGTTCAAATCTTTAATTCCTGTAGAAAAATGCGATCATTTTAAACGAAAAATGGTTTGTTATTAAATTATTAAAAAAAGTTTGACTGCATATGACGTAGTTGTACGTGAACACATGAAACATTTCCCGTAGTTTTACGTGAACGCATGAAAACTTTTCCGTAGTTTTACGTGAGCACATGCAAATTTATGTGAATACCACAAAATTTTCCCCTTATCTGTGAATGTATTTGATATAATGCTAAAAAAAAAAAAAAAAAAAAAAAAAAAAAAAAAATATTAGATTGTACAATTGTTTCGTAAGATCGAAATTGCTTAGATCTCGTTTGAACGTTATGAAGACATATGTTTTGTTGTTTGTTGTTTCTTATCCCACTTGGCTGGCCAAGCCCACGAGCCCATATGGACTCATGATTGAAGGGGAAGGAAGCAGCTTCTGTTGTGATGGAGCACCCGTAGGTAGAAGCCTGTCTTTTGCTCCGTGACGCTCTTACAGTCATAGAAGACCGGGACCTACGGCTTAAAGTGGATTCCGAACTACTACAAACATCCATGGCACCGCCGGGATTCGAACCCGAAACCTGTGGTACCGAGCGCCAGAGCGCTAGATACTCGGCCATTCAGGTCCCAAATTTGCCAACGGCACGCAGTGTTCCCAGGTGGTCACCCACCCAAGTACTGACCTCGCCTAATGATGCTTAACTTCGGTGATCTAACGAGAACCGGTATATTCAGCATGGTACGGCCATTGGCATGAAGACATATTCATTGATAAAGCAAAATAGGTTATAGGAAAGAGTTCAAATCTTAATTCCTATAGAAAAATATGATCATTTAAACAAAAAATGGTTTGTTATTAAATTATTAAAAAAAATTGACTTCATATGATGTAGTTTTACGTGAATATATGAAAGTACCACAAAACTTTGCCTTATCTGTGAATCTGTTCTATTGAATGCTCGATAAAGTTCGAATAGTCGAGTGTGCAATTGTTTCGTAAGCTCTAAATTGCTTAGATATTATTTGAACGTTATGAAGACGTATTCATTGATAAAGCAAAACGGGTTATAGGAAAGGGTTCAAAAATTAATTCCTGTAGAAAAATGTGATCATTTATCTTAAAGCGATAAATGGTTTATTATTAAATTATGAAGAAAAAATAGTTTTGAATGCATATGATGATGTAACTTTATGTGAACACATTAAAGTACCACAAAACTTTGCCTTATCATCATCTGTGAATGTATTCTATGTAATGCTCAAAAAAGTTTAAATATTCGATTGTGCAATTGTTTCGTAAGCTCGAAATTGCATAACGTTCAAACACGTTATGAAGACGTATTCATTGATAAAACGAAATGGGTTTATAGGAAAAATTTCAAATCTTAATTCCTATAGAAAAATGTGATCATTTAGCTTATAACGAAAAATGGTTCGTTATTAAATTACGAAAATAATAGTTTTGAATGCATATGATGTAGTTTTACGTGAACACATGAAAGTACCACCAAACTTTGCCTTATCTGTGAATGTATTTTATTTAATGCTCAAAAAAAAATATTAATTAGTAAATTTACTTGCTTTAGTTACGTATCAATTAATTTTATTTGAGTAATTTCGATTTTCAAATGAAATTCCTGCTGAAATATGTACATAAAGTTAATAAAATTTTTTTTTCCTTTGCTTAGTATTCCGCCTTGCTGAGGTTGCCCGACAACATGCCGTATTCCGAGAAGATTCGACATGTCGAATGCATCATTGATGTCCTTGATCTGAGGAGATGCCAACACACAAGTAAGTTTACAATTCACTACTTCCGGTAGTTTTCTTTTTTTTTTTTTTTTTTATAAATAAAATGACGAGAAACGTCATGGTAGTAATTTTAAAACTGTTTTACTTCTTTACCCATTAAAAATGTATTGTTTACGGGAATGAGATTTTTCGATTTCCTTAACCACTTTCAATAATTCTTATTGGTTAATTTGTTACAAATTTCTCACACAAACTATTGGTTATTTAAAAAAAATTCTTCCACGAGCTAATAAATATATAATTAAAAAAGATAAAATTGTTCTAAAAAGATCGTCTGGCGGAAAGCAAAAATAATTTTATTTCAAAAATGAAAATGATAATTTTTATGAAAAGAAAATCGTTTGGTGAAAGCAAAAATAATTTTATTTCAAAATGAAAATGATAATTTTTATGAAAAGAAAATCGTTTGGAATTTTATAACTTATTTTTTTTTTTACGATTTTGTTCTTACATTAACTTCTAAATTTTATGGGTAATCTGTATATCGGTCCAGCTGATTATATATATTTTTTAATTTTTAAATTTCTTTCATCTAGTAATTATATAGTTAATTATAAAATTAAATATTTCTTATTTGTTTATTTTTTTGAAAATTCTTTCAGGATCTAGTAATTATATAATTAAATGTAAAATTTTTCTTTTTTGAGTAATTAAATAATTGTATGGGTAACCTGTATATCGGCCCATCTGATTTTTTAATATCATATTTTGAAAACTATAATAAAAATTAATTAAGTTTTGATAAATTTAAATTTAAGTGCGATTCCAAAGCATAATTTCAAGTTCAATTTTTTTGTTTATTATTATTATTATTATTATTATTATTTTGATGAAAATAATTTTTAGACGACTGTAATTTTTGGTTGGTTAAGTTACAAGTTCTTATTTGTTCTTATTAGTTCTTATTTGAACAAGTCCCTGTTAAATTAAGACAAATATTCGATTAAGAACTTCTAATATTTTAATAATTCGTTTTAATTAGATTGGTAAATCCATTTCGTAAAAATAACACAGAAGAAGATTATAAATTATGCATTTCTCCGTAAAAATAATTGACGAAATTGAGAAGAATTGCTGAAAGTGTAAAAATATTGCATCTACTTAAAAATATGTTTTTTTTTTTAAAAAACAATAAAAAACGCGTATAACATTAAAGAGAATTATATCTTTTTTAATTATTAACTCTCTCGTATGCTAATTTCAGACGTCATAAAGTTCTAATTCTGACTAGAGAGCATTCCAAGAGAAGTTAATAAATGAAGTGTTAGCGAACTTCATTTTTATGCCTCGTATTAAAAAAAGTACAAGGTCGAATCTCGGCAAAGCGAGACCTGTAATTACAGCTGTAAATTTTAGTGACGCTGAACCGTAGTAAAAATAAGTGAATGTAGTTCTAAATATTTTTTTTCTCTTCTTCTTTTTTTACATTAAGTAGTAAAACTTTTTTTTTTCTTTTTTCTTTTCAACTTTCTAAAAAAATTTTGAAAGATTGTAAGGTATACTTACTTATGTGTTCTCAACCATGCTGATTTTAAGCAGTCGTTTCTTTGTAGCAATATAAATGCAACTTAAAATTGCTTTGTATCGTTTCAAAGGTTGTTTGCTTCGTTGACCTACTTTATTAGATAATAGTTAAGCATGCCGCTTGCGCAGAATTAGGATGTGGTTGTTATTCATAGTTGATTGCTATGGATTAACAGTGCATGGCCGGTGGTTAAAATAGTTAAACAGGGTTTGTCTGGTTTTGCGTTATTATTAAATATTTTTATATTCGATAACATCATAATTGGATTTAAATTTAGAAATTAATTTTTTTTGAAAAGTAAATTGTTATTAGATGAAGCATATTACATCTCCAGTAAATGAATGCATGAAAATTTAAAGATAAATAATATAAAAAAAAATATTTCACTTATTAATTTTAATTATAGTTAAATAATACAATGAGTGATATTTTTAGTAGTCGTCGCTTTGCAATATAACTAGAACTGTGGGTTAAAGTCCCGGCGGTATTATGGATGTTGTAGTGGTTCGGAATCCACTTTAACCCGTAGGTCCTGGCCTCATTTGACTGTAGAGCGTCACGGAGCCAAGTCAGACTTCTACCTACGGGTGCACCAGAAACTGTTCCCTTTCCCTTCAACCATGAGTCCATACGGGTTCGTGGACTTTGTCTAGATGTCTACCAAGTGGGATAAGAAACAACAACAACTAACAAATGTTATTTGTATTTTGCTTTGAAA